GCCACCCCAAAAAAATGATCAATAAACTGATTAATTTACCTCATTAATCCCCAACCACCAACTTCAACAATCAAAAAAATAAGTCCAAGTGTTGTAACACTAGTTTCATGTCGTCGTAGTCGCTCGTTTTCTCTTAAACACGCCTCTTTCCTTTCTCTATCCTCCTCCCGCGGTTTCTCTCTCCCTCTCGCTCACTCCCACCTCGATCACCCGACCCTTCTCTCTCTCTCTCACTCCCTCACTCTCTCTCTCTCTCCCCCTCACTCACTCTCTCTCTCTCTCTCACTTCAACTCCAACTCTAACTCAATTGAACTCCAAGGCAACAGATAATCATCGAGACGATCACAACCTCACCCGTAAAAAACACGAAAAACAATCCCCCCCCACCGCATTGATCACAAAATTCACCATCACTGAATGCATCAATTACCCCTGGAGCACTGATAACCACCCATTGACACCGATAATGCGCATCCTAGGAGTATCTGTCTCACTTTTGTTGCCTCGTGAACGCGCGTGTCCTCGAGATGACGCGATTCACGTTCCACATAATTATCGCAGCAGTTTTTTTTACAGCGTGTTAAATAAAATAAATACCGCTGCTCCGGGGTGATTGATGGGGAATTGTTTGGTCACATGAGGCTGGTATTGAGTTGAGAACTGAACACTTCACGGCTGTCTTTTTTTTTCGTTTTTTTTTTCACTCCACTCGGAGCATTCACGGGTGTAGCCAATCGTTCACTCCTGATTCACCCGAATCATCGGATTGTTTCTTGATTCAGTGGTGTTGGGTGTGCGCGGAATTTATTCGGATCTTTCTAGTCCGGGGAAGTGAGGATTTTCGAGGGGTACACGGTTATTCGCAGTTGGGGGAACAGACACAGGATAGGTAGACACTAGAAGGCGGCAGCAGTTGCGGCGACCAACACTACCACCAACACCAGCTCCACGCATGGTGGTGCATCATCTCTCTTCTGGACATTTTTTTTTTCGGCTTTTGGTTTTTGGGGGGTATTGTTGGGAAGCGCGGGGGAGGGGGGTCGGGGGGGGGGGGGAGGGCGAGGGGTTTTTGGGGAGGGGGATTCTCATACATTTTCCGTAGGTCGAGAGGGATCCCCGGGGGCTTGGGAAATTGGTCGGGGGCCTTGGGGGATGCAGCATGTGAAGAGATTTGGCGTGCAACGGGGAACGAGGGCGTTTTTGTTCTGGGATGGTCTGTTGGTTGTGAGTCTGTGGCTGTTGTGGCGCGACAAGCGTTCGCTTTGGAGTCGGCCGGGATCGGGAGGGGTCGGGAAGGCTCGGGAGTCGGACTGGAGGGGGGGTTTTGGGAGGGAGATTTGAAAAAAAGTTTCACGGGGGGAAAAATACGGGAATCGTGTCATTTCTGGAAATGACGGCCATGAGACGCGGAAATTTTGTAACTAAAAATTATGGTCGCAAATAATTTGGAAGTAAATTGATGTCAAACCATTTGTAAAAGTGCACAGATGCGGATCAGTTTTTGAAGGGTATCTCCGAATTTAAGGGAAATAGCAAAATTTTTGTCATTACCTTTTCTGCAGCTCTTGATTCGCTCTACAAAAAAGGTCCTAAGGAAAATTTGGCTATTTGCGTTAGGTTCTGAGATATTTACTGGTAACTGGATCAGTGGCCAAAGTCGACTTGAATAGTTTTATCGCTTCGCTACTGAATTGATGAAGAAAAGAAGTTGCCCTTATACAGATGAAAAATCACTTATTTTTCTCGGCATTTGCATGTCTTGGTGATAAATCGGCGATTTTATAATTTTTTCAAGTACCACAAGTATTTCATGGGAAATTTCACCAAATTTTTCCCCATTTCTTCTTTACGTAAATAAAAAAGTGAAGGGATGAAACGTCATGAAGTTCTCATTTTTCAATAGCATTCAATTTTTTATTAAACAGAAGGAACTGAGTAATTTCAAATTCCATACGATTGATTTTGCGGAAGGTCATATCAAATACAAAAAAAAATTCGCAGATAAATATTGAAAATTGTAGGACCAGTAGGGCTAGTAGGGATTTTTTCACAATCATTCCCTACATTCCACCCATTCACACCTTTCCAAAAAAAAAAAATCGCAGCCCCCCCCCCCCCCCCCAACCTGAAAACCGCGATAAAAATAGCCAACAATATCCGACAATCGTGAAAAACCACTAGTTTTTTTGCATCTCGTACGCAATAAATGTTTTGCCGGCCTCCCACCCCCCTTCCCCAGCTTCGCGCACAACTCGGCGCCATGTTTTCCAACCCCCACTCCCCCCACCAGCCGACAACTTCCCCTACCCGGCTTTGTTTTCGATTCGCTCATGTGCAGCGAGCATTGGATTCAGGATAAGCGCCAGTCAGCATCAGGAGTAATTGGAGATTATTGTTGTTAAAATAAATGGAAATTGTATGGAGAGGATGTATATGGGGGGTGAGGGGGGTAGGTGTGGAAAAACCTGATGATGATGATGATGATGATAATGATGATGAAGAGAGAAAAAACTGCTGGGAAGGAAAGGCCAGAGCAGAATGGATCTTGTTAGATGTTGAATATCTTCTGATCGAATGGCGTGATCTGAGCGAATGAGGTGTCATTTTAAGGGCTCATAGAAGACCTTGAAAATGACGAGGGATTTTTTTAATTTCACTCAGCCGATCTCGAGAGTTGAAGATTAAAGACGAAGAATTTCAGGATTATGTTAGTATTTGGGAGGACGAGTTTCCGGCTTAACTCCTGGTTCAAATGATACAATTTGAATGAACCAGGGCTCATTTTGAAGATTGATAAAAGCCCTTGGAAATGGCGTCAGATTTTTTGAATTTCACTCAGCCGATCTCGAGATATTTCAGATTGAAAATGATTAGTTCATTAAATCTGGAAGAATGTTCATTTGGCAGGCGTATTATCCTGCACCTTAACCCCTAGTTCGAACGGTGCAATTTGGATGAACTAGGGCTTATTTTGAAGGTTGATAGAAGCCCTTGAAAATGGCGTAAGATTTTTTGAATTTCACTCAGCCAATCCGGAGAAATTCAAGACTGAAGATGATCGTTTTATTCAATCTGGGAGAAAGTCCAGTTCGAAAACGCAACACCGCGCAACTCGACCCCTGATCGAAGCCTGTAGCCTCGAGACTCGGAGGATGATCCTCCGAGGGGGCTATTTCGGTTGATAAACGTTCCGGGTTCTTTATTCAATAATGACGGTGATGACCGGGGCGGGGGTTCGATGATGACCGAATGGGTAAATTAATTTTTAGGATTATTGATCGCTCTGAGGGGAAGAGGGAGAGTTCCTGAGGGAGAGGTGATTTTGGAAAATGCATGAGACCCTGCGTATTTTTTTTTTGATTCCAAGATTTCAATATTTCAAGGATTTTGAATAATTTTTTTGGAATTGCATTTCATTTCGAAATAAATGAGAAAAGTATTATCGATTATTCTTCTTCCCTTGAAAAACCCAAATCCTTTCTGTAGCTGAGGAAATGTCATACTAAAATTGACATTTGACATTTCTCCCAGAATCGATAATTATAGAGACAATTTAATTCTTAACAATTGATTTCTTGCGCATTCAATTACCTCCAAATTTATTTTAATCACATAATCATCTTGATAATGATATTTTTGAAAGAAAATGTCTACAATTATTTTGTAGAGAAGAAAATTTCCTACAAAAAAAGTTCTTTGACATTTTTTACTAAAATGCCTCATCATCGAGATAATTCGGCATTCAGAAACGATTGAAAAAATAATTACTGATTATTCTCCTTTCCTTGAAAACCCCAAACCCTTTCTATAGTTGAAGAAATTTCCTACAAAAATTGTCATTCGACATTTCTCCTAGAATCGTTAATTATAAGGACAATTTAATTCTTAACAATTGATTTTTTGTCCAATTAATTCACCTCCTAATTCATGTTAATCACATAATCATCTCGATAATGATGATTTTGAAAGAAAATGTCTAGAACCATTTCATAGATGAGAACATCTACTAAAATTGTCATTTGACATTTCTCCCAGAATAAATAATTATAGAGAAAATTTCATTGTTAACAATTGATTTCTAGTCCAATTAGTTCACCTCCGAATTTATTTTAATCACATAATTATCTCGATAATGATAATTTTGAAAAAACAATGTCTAGAACTATTTTATAGAGAAGAAAATTAATTAATTTTAGAAAATGAATTAATTTCCTAAAATCCCTCATCGAAATAATCCAGCATTCAGAAACGATCAAAAAAATAATTATCGATTATTCTATCCCTACACTTCCTGCTGGAGCAACTACTGAAAATGATTCAACTTACCCCAGAGTCAATTCCTTGAGTATTAGGAGTCGTAGATCGTTGCATATTGTGATAATTCTGTAAAACAAAAAAGGGATTGAGCCCCACGTTAGCAACGGCAAACGAGATTTTCAACATTTCGTTAAATTCAGGGATTGAATCATCACCTGTTGTTGTCCAGGCGTCGGCTGGGGCTGGGGCGATGCCGAGGGCGGCGGTGCCGGGGATTGGGAGAGTGCACGCTGAGGCGACTGACTCGATGAATTCGCCTGACTGGGAGGAGGTGGTGGGGCATTAGGAGGTCCAGCTTGGTTCCAGGCCCTCTGGTCGGGGTACAAGCTTGGGGGGTGACCTCCCTGTGTCGCGTATGAGTTCAACTGCAACATTTCAAGGGAATTATATCGTTTTTTCTTATTTTAAGCTGAATTAAGGGATGAAACACTCAAATTGATTTATCATTCGTATGAATATCTCGGAATCTAAGGCAGATAGCAAAATTTTTGTTATAACATTTTTTGTAGCTCTCAATGCGCTCTATAAAAAAGGTAATTACGAAAATTTCAATATTTCTCTTAGATTCGGAGATATTCTTCGAAAACGCGCTCCATTAATTAGACGGTCGCTTTTATTTGATCACTAAGTGATGAATAATGAGTCTTTTCTAGAATTATTTCTTAGAGGGTAATGTCATTGAAATTTTTCGCTAAAACCACTCGTCTGAAAGATAATTATGTATTTAACGAGATAGTTTTATCATAAATTACCTGATGATGTCCATAAGGAGAGTGAGGCCTGGCAGGTGATGGATATCGCGTCGTGTACGGCTGATAGGGCATGGGAGTGGGTGAACTGGGTCCACCAGGTCCAGGATGTAGCCTCGGTGATCCCTAGAACAGTAAAAGCCCAATGAAACCCTCAAATCCCCCTCGAACCCCATCCCAAATGATTTATAATTACAAAACTCTGTTCTAATATTCTGAGACTGTTTCTAAAAATTTCGTGTATTCCCAATAATTTATCATCTCAATATTCATCGGTACACGTACGAAAAAAAATTATAGAAAAACCCAGCGAATTCACTAGAGAATTCTATTAGATTAAACTATTTTATTAAACTCTCCACTAGTTTCTCAAATGTTGAATGGAAAATATTTAGATTTTTCTATCCAAATTGCTCTCCGCAAATTTCCCAAAATTTTTATTCAATTTATTTAATAAAAACACAAGAAAAACTGGAAAAAACTCTGAAAATTCCTGTCGAGGAATTCAAGAGAACCTGTCTAAAAAAAAAAGTCCTGCTTTTCCATAAAATCATTTCGTACATGTGAATAAAATAAAGTACAATGCACGAATGAAATGTAAACCAAACGATTATGCATCCACATGCTTGGAGCAAATAAATTTATCTACAAATCAAAAGATCCCAAAAATTACAGTTTTGTTGATGGACCCAGCGAATTATCTAGAGAATTCTACTGAATTCTCCGTTAGTTTCTGAAATGCTGAACGAAAAATATTTAAATTTCTCTACCCAAATTCCCCCACCGAAATTGTTCAAGATTTTTATTCAATTTGTTTACTAACAAAAGAAAAAGAAACTGGAAATTAATGTCGAGGAATTTCAACAGAACCCGTCTTTAAAAAAAATCGTATAGAAAGACGAAATTCCCCTAATTTTTGGCTCGGCTTTCCCATAAAATCCTTCTGTACATATCAAAAAAATAAAGTACCATGCACTAATGAATAAATCAAAAGAACCCAGCGAATTATCTAAAGAATTCTATTGAATCCTCCATTAGTTTCCAAAATGTTGAATGGCAAATATTCATACTTTTCTATCCAAATTCTTCGACCTTTCGACCTTTCTTCGACAAATTATTCAAGATTTTTATTTACTTTATTGAATGAAAAAAGGAGAAAAACTGGAAAAAAACCCCGAAAATTAATGTCAATGAATTTCAATAGAGCCTGTCCCAAAAAATTCGCGTAGAAAGATGAAATTCCCCAACTCATTTCGTACATCTGCCTAAAATAGAGTAAAATGCACGAATGAATAACTCGAAAGAAGCCAAAAAATTACAGTTTGTGGAGGTCGTTGACTGGGCTGTGGATATACTGGTGGTACAACAGGAGGTCTCTGCATGGGCCAGGGTTGTTGATACGACTCCGGAGCAATCCCCGGATAATTAGGATGAAACCTGTGCGGTGAGCTGGTGGCCTGTAGCAGCTGATTCAAAGTAGGCGTGGGTCCAGTGGCCTGCGATATACTCTGACCAGACAAGAACCTCGGCTGTCCGGGAAACCCCCCAGGCACAATATGCCCCAGTCTCCCCTCAATTTTCGAGGAGTAATGCTCCTCCATCTCCGAATGATGCCTCCCCTCACTCTGTCCCTCACTCAATCCAGGTTTATGATACTCCCCAGGCGTTTGTTTTCCCCCAAAATCACTCGACTTTCCCTGATAATCATCCTGATGATAATCCCTGGACAAATGTTGTCCACCAGTTGGATTGCCCCCCGAATAATTGGCCCCATGTCCAACCCCATGTGACTGATGTATATTATGCGGTGAATGACCCGAATGATGTCCAGAATGTCCATGAATAGCATGCCCACCAGAGTGTTGTCCACCATGCTGACTGTGTGTTTGTTCATGCTGTTGTAACTGTCCCTGTGACTCCTGTTTACTAGTACTACCATCACCACCCCCAATACCCGATATATTCTGAGAATTTTGTGGCCCATCCCGCGGTGATTTGACATCACCAACGTTATGTCCACCAATGTCCTCACGATATTGACTCATTTCGTATCCAGTATCACCGTCACCACGATTCACATACTTGAGCAGCTGGGCCGCGCCCCGATTTATTTTATCGGTGGGCTCTTGTTCAAGCTGCTTATTAATACTAACACTTGCACTATTACCACTATTTTGTCCCCTTTTTTTATTACATTTCACTGTTTCATTGTGCTTTACATCGTTTTGTTGGCTCTCGGCTTGCGTAGCAGCCATGTTCTACCATCACGGTGCCATCATCCTCACTTTAACTGGCCAATAGGGGTTACACGTTCCCCGCGTACAATTTGCGTTTATCCTTATCGATGCGCTGATTGGTTGATACTGTACATTTACTATTAACACTGAATAACCCCGCATTATACGTTTGTTAATGTTGGTTTATCGGGGGCATTATTAGGTTTTTCATTGCCCTTGTCGGGTGAGAATTGGTTTTTCAGAGGGGGGGAGGGCGTTACGGATATTTTTGAGGGGAATTGGCTTGGTTTTTTTTTGTATGGAGTTTTGGGGGCATTTGGGGGATTGTTCGGTTTTTTTTTATTCACAGATACTAACGTCAAAAGAAGCGTCGCAGGGGGGACGACATCTTGTGGCGAACGCCGGGACTCGCGGTTTAGCGTGGGTTGTTTGAATTGAGAAGAGGGAAAGGTGTGGGGAATTTCGGGGGGAAACTGCTTTATCAAGGGAGGGAATGGAATTTTGGTGATTTTTTGGAGAGGGAGGGGGCATTTTTAGAATCCTATTTACATTTTTTGGAAGCCTATTAGATTTTTGTGAACCTATTATTGTTTCTGAAGCCTATTTTATTTTTTTGTAGACCTTTTTTTCTGAAGCCTATTATTTTTGTAAACCTATTATTTCATGAACCTATTGTTTTTTCATGAACCTATTCAATAGTGAAGCGGTAAACCGAGTTAAGTCGATTTTGACTATTAGCCAGTTTTTGCTGAATATCTCGGAATCTAAGAGAGATAGCAAAATTTTTCTCATGACTTTTTTTATAACGCTCTATTGGCTCTACAAAAACGGTCATGACAAAAAACTTTCTATCTCTTTTAGATTCCGAGATATTCGTCAAAAACTAGCCAATAGTAAAAAACGACTTAACCCGGTTTACCGCTTCGCTACTGTATTGATTTAAAAAAATAATAGTAAGAAAGCGATGTATAAAGTGAAGAATGAATGAGATTTTTGCAAGTTATTGCGCGATTAATAGGTGTACATACTACTTCGAAGCCTATTGGATTAATATCGAATTTGTTTTAAGAATATGTCGGGAGGTAGTAGGTTCATGAGAAAATATCGGACACGATTATTTTTGGCAATTGCGAGCTACGAAAGAGGTATTAAAATCTCTTCCGTGAGCCTACTAGTCTCTGATAAAATCGATAGGTACTGTTTGGCGCGGAAATATCTCTAGAGCTAGGCTTTAGCAAAAAATGGGAAAATAAATTCTTCTCGTGGAGTAAAATCAAGAAATAATAGGGTCATAAAAATAATAGGTTCATAACAATAAGATCCGATCAATTAACCCTCATGTATAGATATTCCAAATTTTTATTTTTTTCCTCATTGAAGTGGTTTTGAAGAAAATTGCGAGCTAATAAAAAACATTTGCTAGTTAGTACTTTTTTTAAAATAAATTTTTGAAAAATCACCTCTGAAAAAAAAGGCGTTATCCCCTCTATTTCATTATTTCCAAAAAAATTTATCACCAATCGATAGAAAATTGTTTGAAGATTTTTGCAATTCAAGAAAAAATCGTCAATGCAATCCTATTATTGTGTAAATTAACAATTCCAATTTCAACTGAAAACCAGAGTTGATGACCAGAGTTTGTAACAGAGATGTCAGATAAGATATGAATGTTTTTTTTGGCTCAAATGAAAGAGCGGCTCGAAAAATGGCGTGCAGAAGTCTTTAAAGATGACAAATGTCTCTAAAGTTGATGTCTGTTTTCAATTGAAAA